CGTAAGTGGTGTACGAAGTCCTTATATGAGGAAGCATTTGCATTTTTTTAAAACTTTGGCCTCCTTCATAGATGAATCTTTATTTACTACCTACGATTCAGAGGAAGCAAATTGCAAAATTAAAATTCTTGGCTTCCTCATATAAGGACTTCGTACACTACTTACGATTCGGAGGAAGCAAATTGCACGTTTCAGCTTGCAGCTTGTTTAACGTGAGTCCCCCCATGCCTCTCAGAACTTGGGGTGCTACATACTGTAGAGAAGGCATGTAAGGATAAATCTCTTGCATGATCTCTTCGGGCCTAATATTTTTGAATTGGCTGAAATTCAAAAATTTGAATATACGTATAATCAGATCCGTTTTACCGATCTCCGCCGAATTAGAGACATGTCACGGCTAAATGATACTCTATACTTTTCGAAAATTGGAGCTCAGTCGGTCAAAGTTGACGGGAGTTAATATTGAAAAATTTCATTTTTCGAAAAATTCAAAATATCATAAAATCAAAATTTCTCGATGGATTCGGTCCAAATGGAATATCAACCAACCTTGGATACAAATCTCTTTCCCAAGAACTATTTAGACGATTGTCACAAAATTTGCGATCGCTAGAGTGATAACCTCCTTTTTTCGGGAATTTAAAAACGACATAAAATCCGAGCCGCAGCATGAACCATGACGAAAATTATAGTCAATGAAGGGATTGTAGAGCTGCACGTGCCTGCAAAATTGGGGGGGGGAGCCTGTAGCTAAAACCGTTTTCGAGTTATACACGTTTGAATTTTGGGAGGCCGTTACACACACACACACACACACACACACACACACACACATCCGGACATTTTCTCGACGTTTTGGCACATTCTGAACATGGTGACATGAAAATCTCGACAGGAAAATTTTCCACCGTCACATAGCTTCCTCTGTGAGGAAGCAAAAGTGGAGAAAATAAATTTGAAAAAAAAATCATTAGCGTCTGGCACGAGGGGTAGTTTGCGAGAAAGAATTGGTATAATGTTAAAGAAAGGTTTGAAGAAAAAACCCGCTATTCGCCGGCATAAACGAACACGCTTTAATCTCACTCACTTTCCATTCACCCCCTTCGGCCACCTAGCTTACACTGTGTCATTTTCTCGTTGCGCCTCATCACTCCGCACCATCCACTTCCGGCGAATACATCTCAGCAATCCCACATTTATTCCTCTTGAAATAAGTTTCACAACCACCCTCGAACCAATCCCCGTCTCCAACCCCTGTCGCCTTCCTTCATCCTCCTGGGCCTCTTGTTTCGATATAATCGGATAACTTTCTTCTCATCCGTTTTTCTTCCAAATTTATCCTCATCGCTACAACGTCCCCTACGTTGCCACATATCACCCCTCTCACCACGTTGACACCGACCGTCAGGGTGCGCGACGAAAATATTTTGCACAATACACCAATACACCACCTATGGGTCAATCATCCCTTAGTAGCCAACCCCACGCCTTTCTCGAACAAGTGTTACCTACGTCGGACGAGGAACATATGCTCTGTCGACTGTATAAAATGGTTACAAGTCGATTTTGAAAAATAAATTGATAATGTACTTTTTGTTTACAGCGACCTGTTTTTTTTTCTCATTCGTCTCTGAAAATTGGACTTTAACTGTTTTCAAAAATTTCAAGCTCGCACCTCGTTGCCAAATTCTAGTGACGGGGAAGAGAGGGCAATCTAAATCTCTTACGCCTTGCACCCTGCCCTCGGTTAGGATTTAATTTCCACCTGACAAACGAGCTTTGATTACACCACTGCATTTTGATAAGAAATTATTCAGTTGGACATATCTTCGGTAAAAGCTAAAGTTTCCAAACCCCTTCATCCCAATTGGCAACACCCGCGGTACACAACGTTTTGCAGCACAAACATTTGCACTGACTTCCATCTTCTTTTACTTCGCTCCACGTCGCCCTTGTGGCCCCTGGAGGTTTTTGCGAAAAACGCAAAAACTTTTTTGGACCTCGCTCGACTTCCTATTAAAGCTTTGGATAAAGTTGGCATTGGTTTTGCGTCTGGCTGGTATCCCACGTATCTCTGTGTACGACGTGTAACGATTCTGATGCGAAATAGGAACCTTTTTTTTTTTAATTCAAGTACGGGGTAGTGGTGACACACATTTGAATGGCAGTTTACGTAATACAAGAATCACTGTAATTTAATATCTTTTTTTATATGACCTACGGCAATGCCACCTAGGCCTATATCTGTATTCGGAAGGTTAATTAGGTATAAACGCAGTCAAGAGTAGAACATGAAACGGAACTTAGTGCAATGACAAATAATGGACGCAGTAGCAGTGAGAATCGAGGGATGAAAAGAATATTACCAGATACGAAAATTGGCATTTGGTAACGCAACAGAATGATCCATCAACGAAGATCTTTTCAGCCGCCATGAAAAAAGAATAATCAAAGTTGAGAAACTGGAACGCGAATGCCGAACGGACACATCAGTATAGTTCAAACCTAAGATATTATTTTTTGGCATTGTTTCTCTTTCCTTCTTCCTTTCGTTCCAATTTCCCTTTTCCGCATTTCTGGGACCAACTGCTGACACGTTATGTTTGGGACATTTTACGACATTTAGAGGGGGGCAACGCTCGCTACAACTTTTCTAAATTTTTCGTGAGGGTTGCTTTCGTAACCAGTGACACTTTTCAGGGGGTTGAAATCGTCAGATATACCGACGGGGGAGTGTAAGTGTCAAGGGGAGGAAGGTGGGGGTATCACAGGAAGAAAAGAGAGGTAAAAGTGTCAGAGTCACGACAGGGGTTGGTGGGAGTACAAGGGGGGTACCTTTGGGCCATAGCTACGAGCCGAAGGGGTAGGTAGGAAGGAGCGGGGGGAGGGAGGGTTGGAAAAAGCCGTTATGAAGTCGTTTGAATGTAAGCCCTTACGAGCACCACTTCATCCCCTTCGACTCCCAACCCCCTGCCGAGGATACCGTGAGGTCTTGGTGATTTTTTTCTTAGTCCCTTTAACAGGAAACCACCCCATCGCCACCATTTCACCCTTATTTCTGAAGCTCCCGCAGCCCACGACTCTCACTTTCTCTCTTACTACCTTTTTTCGATCCTCCCTCCCCCCCGCCCCAAAGTGCCCCCACTCCTTCCCGACCCTCGTCATATTTACCATTCCACCTCCCTACCTTGGCAGACACCCTCCTACCGACGAGGCGAGAGTGCTGCCACCTAGTCACGCTTCGTTATCGTTCACTTTTCATCCCCTTTTTACAACCCGGCAACCTCCTATAGTCTCGCTGTATCTTTCCCTAAGCATCTCCCTCTATCTATCAAAACAACCACCGGTAACTTTACACGTACCAGAAGTGACTCTAAACTCCCCGTGCGGCTAGTGAAACTGTCTTACGTATCCATAGCTAAAATTACCCCAGAAAGATGGATACCGAATCTAGTAATTTTTTTTTCTTCCTTTCACTCCAAATGGATTAACTTTAGTTTCCTGTCTAGCCTATGTAGAGGTATTTGTCTTCCTTACTTAGAATACATTAAGGGGGGTTCGAGCCGTCCCAGAGATGGTAACAAGGTTTGAAATGGACTTGGAGGTTTAAAAACTAACTAGGAAATTAAAAAAGAAAAAAGAACATCTTAGCTCTGGCTTTTCTGCAAAGTTTTTCACTGTTACCCCCTATAGTGCCTTTTTTTTAAGCCCCTCGAGACTAATGGCGAGTATTATACATTCTACGAGTAAATCCAGACCAAAGAAAGGAAGGAAGGAAATATGGAAGAATGGAAGTTCAGGTTATATGCGGGTGAGACAGGAGCTCTTCGAATTCTCCTGGTGATCCGAGTGGAGCCTCGAATGCTCTAGCTAATCAGGCCCCCTTTGTCGCCCAAGTATGACACGGTCCTGCATTCGCAAAATCGCATGCAGCTACGTGTCTGGCATCGATTTACCAATTCTAACCTATTCCCCTTGGCACCTCCCTGCCACCTGGTAGCGCCCCCCCCCCCCCCCCCCCCCCC